AAAGAGCTCTTAGCCTTGACCAACATAAGCATGCCCTGGGGGCCGCAGTGGCTCTGGCCAGTTGTCCTGGCACTTGAGGAGGCGAGGCCATGAGTTCAAGGCCAACCTGAGCAACATAACAAGCTCTCATTGATTAGCATGACCCATAAAAGAAAAAATTGATCAACTGAACTTTATCAAAATTAAAAACTTTTGTTCTGTGAAAAACCATGTTAAGAGGATGCAAAGACAAGATATAGACTGATCTGAAACTTAAAAAAAAAAACACACACACACACACACAGACTGGGAAAGGACACCTGCACACTTCCTTTCTGACAATGGACTAGTATCTAGAATAGTTTTCCCTCAGTATCCATAGGGGATTGGTTTCAGGACCTCCCGGAGATATCAAAATTTGTGGATGCTCAAGTCTCTGATATAAAATGGCATAGTACTTGCATTTAACTTATGCACATTCTCCTGTATACTTTAAATAATCTCTAGATTACTTACAATACCTAATCCATTGTAAATGCTGTTATACTATATTCTTTAGGGAATAACAAGAAATAAAAGCCTGTACATGTTCAGTACAGATGCAATTTTTTTCCAAATATTTTCAATCCATGGTTGGTTTAATCCATGGATGCAGAACCCAGAGATGTAAAGGGTCAATTGTATATATAAAAAAAAACAACTCATTAAGAGAAACAGTGAAAAAAACAATTCAATTAGAATATATGCAAAAGATGTAAACATTTCACTGAAGATAATATAAAATGACAAATACATGAAACAATGTTTAACATCATGTTAAACAGTGCAAGTTAAAACCACAATGAGCTATCACCACACACTTATCAGAGTGGCTAAAATAAAAAAACCTGACAGTACCAAATGCTGTTGAGGATGCAGAGAAACTAGATCACTCACACATTGCTGGCAGGAATATAAAATGGTACACCTACTCTGGAAAACAGTTTTTCAATTTCTTAATAAAACTACCACATAACCTGGCAATTTTACTCCTAGGCATTTAACTTGAAGAAGTGAAGACTTACATCCACACAAAAACCTGCACTTCAATGTTTAAAGCAGCTTTATAATAGCCAAAATTTTAAAACAACTCAGATATCCTTCAATAGGTAAATGAAGCTGGATGTTGTGGCTCATACCTGTAACCCTAGAGCTTTGGGGGGGTCGAGGTGGGAGGACTGATTGCCTAAGGCTATGACTTGCACAACTGCACTTCAGCCTGGATGACAGAGCAAGACCCTGTCTTAAAAAAAAAAAAGGAACAAATCATTGAATATTACACTGAATACATATCATGGAATACCACTCAGTAATACAAAGCAATAAATAATCGATTATGCAACAACTTGACTGAATCTCCAAAGAATTATGCTGAGTTAAAAAACGGCTATCACAAAAGGTTACTGTTACAGACTAAATGTTTGTGTCCTTTCTAAATTCAAATGTTTAAGTCCTTAATCCCCAATGTGATGGTATTAGGAGCTGGGGCCTTTGGGAAGTAATCAGGCTTAGATAAAGTCATGAGGGTGGAGCCCCCATAATGGAATCAATGACCATATAAGAAGAGGAAGAGATCTCAGCACTTTCTCTGGGTGAGGATATACTAAGAAGGCAGTTATCCACAAGCCCAGAAAAGGGCACTCAGAAAGAATGTGATCTGCCAGCATCTGGATATTGGACTTCCCAGATACCAGAACTGTGAGATAGAAATATCTGTTTAAGCCACTCAATCTACAGTATTTTCTTACAGCATCCTGAACTACGCCAATTACATGCTATATAATTCCATTTATATAATGTCCTTAAAATAAGAAAATTATAGACATGAAGAATGTGTTAGTAATTGCTAGAGATCAAGGAAGGGTGAGATTAAGGAAGGAAGTGGATATGGCTATAAAAAGACAACATGAGGGATCCCTGTGGTGAGAGGAATGTTCTGTATCTTGACTATATCGATATCAATACTCTGGTTGTGATACTGTTTTATATAGTTTTGCAAGATGGTAACATTGGGGAAAAGCAGGTAAAGAGTACATAAGATCTCTCTTGCAACTCCATGTGAATCTACAGTTATCCCAAAATAAAAAGTTTAATTAGAGAAACAGTTTTACCCAAACACACATGTCTGAAACTTACTTTATAAATAACTACAGAAGTTCCTTGACTTACAATAGGGTCACATCCTGGTATTATAAGTTGAAAATATCCTAAGTTAAAAAGGCATTTAATACAATTAACCTACCAAACATCATAGCTTACCCTAGCCTACCTTAAACACGCTCTGAACACTAACTTTGGCCTACATTTGGGCAAAATCATCTAATACAAAGTCTATTTTATTATAACATGCTCATTGTCTCATGTAATTTATTGAATAGTGTGCTGGAAACCAGAATGGTGGAATGAGTACCTGAAACATAGTTTCTACTGAATGCATATCACTTTCACATCATTATAAAATAAAAAAGTTCCAAGTCAGGGATGGTCTGTTTATACATGCTATATGTATACACATAGAGGGAGTGAGATAAGGGAGGTGTTGCAAGATAGTAACAATTGATGACTCAAAGTATACTTGTCTTGCAACGTTTCTGAAAGTTTGAAGTTTTCAAAGTAAAACATTGAGGGAGCAGAAATAGTCTCTAGTTTCTTCACTGATCCTTTGCTTTCCTATTTGAAATATTCCATATCAAGATTAATCCTATGTGGCTGAGCTCTGGGCTTCCATAAACACCTGCATCCTGAAGAAAAAGGTGACAAACCATGTAGTAATGGCTTTTCAGATCTGATCTAAAGGGGATTTAAAGATATCCTGACAACTAGAGACAGAGCATGTTATATGGTAAAACATAATTACTTAAGTTTCACTGTGGGGAATAAAACAGCATTATCATCACCCTGTTCATCATATTTAGAAAGCAAGCAGTTTCATGCCTTTCAATGTGAAGGAAATTGGTTTTCTGCTTTTCTTTTTTAAAGCATGAATTTGTTTACTTCTCTCAAGTAAAAAACCTGAGTGACACTGCTTTACCATGAGGCAACTCTCAGAACTACTTCAGGCTGTTCTGGAAAATGTTAACAGAGGTGTGCCTATCTACAGCCTAGTAGTCAAGTGCTCTGAAGTCACAGCAATCACTAACAAGCTATAAGAACTGTCTATACCTCAGTGAGCAGGATATAATGGTATGTATCCTCCTTTTTGTGAGGATTTAATGATACAATGAATATAAAGGGCTTAACACAAAATAAGAGCTCAATACATTTCACCATTATCACTAAGCATTTACAATTACTTAAGACAAAGCAACCAAAATTTATACTTTACAAGACTGACTATTCATAAAATTATTTTACATACCTCGCTGTTTTAGATAAAAAATGAGGTCAAGTGTACACAAGTTATAAAATTATAACTTTAATACATTATAAAAATTACACAAATAGGAATTTTGCCTATAAACAGCATGATACAGTAGATAGAACACAATATTCAAAATCAGAAGGCTCAGAGTTAAGTCCTGACTCTACTGCTTTCTGATGTGATCTCAGGACAGCACTGAAACTGCCTCAGTTTTCTCATTAAAAAAAAATGAGATGGTGTCCCTCTTGTGGCAGGATGATAGAAATTAAAATAGGAGACATATAAAATGAAAGCACTACGTGACATTAACAAATACAAGTTTCACATTTCCCCCATGAAATGTCATTCATCATAAAATCTGCCAAATTTGACAGAAAATTTCTGAAGATAATATAAATGGTTAAGAAAATCAAGCAATTTTTTAAAAAATGGGGCCACTGGAACTAAAATGTCTAATGCCTTTACATAAGTCAAATACACATATTCAAAATATGTCCCCAAAGACATCTACTGAATTTTAGGTAGTCTTATATTTGCAGCTCGTAACGTTTTTTTCTATTCAAGCCAAAAAAAATTGTGTCACTTATAAAAGTTAGATCAAAAAGCCTTGCTTGCTACAACATGTTTTAACAATCTTACATTTGGGTAACTGGTAACTTCCTTTCCTAAAATGTGTGCCTCCTCTGGCCTGGGAAATGTGCTTTCAGTCAGTCTCCATGTCACTCAGGTGCAAAATCTCTTACCTTTTTAAGTTTCATAGTCTTCAAGTCCCAGTGAGTCTTCCTTCTCAATGTCTATTTTTTTCTATCCCCACTGCCATTACCATATGTTGGCTTTCATTACTTTCTACCTGTAGTCATAATTTCAGACTAATTTCTTTGCTTCCAGTCTCTCTGCTCTTATAGTCCATTCTATTCATTACAGCTAAATTGAATCCTAAAATCCTGCTTTTGCTGTGCCATTCCCTATTTAAAGACTTCCCCCAAAATACAAAATCCTCAGCCTAGAGTACAAGCAGAACCTGGAAGTTGCATAATCAACCACCAAAAAATACAGCAGCCATTTTTTTTGTTTTTGTTTTTAGACTGAGTCTCACTCTGTCACCCAGGCTGGAGAGCAGTGGCACAATCTCTGCTCACTGCAACTTTTGCCTCCTGGGTTCAGGCAATTCTCGTCTTAGCCTCCCAAGGAGCTGGGACTACAGGCACACAACACCACACCTGGCTAATTTTTATATTTTTAGTAGAGATGAAGTTTCGCCATGTTGGCCAGCTGGCCTTGAACTCCTGACCTCAAGTGACCTGGCCACCTTGGCCTCCCAAAGTACTGGGATTACAGGTATGAGCCACCACACCTGGCCTAGAAGTAGTCTTTACTGCCATAGGCAGATGACATACCACCGCTGAAGCCTCAGCACAGGAAGAAAGTTCACATCAGGTTCAGTGAGATCTATGTCCACTCAAAACGGAGATGTAGGTCACAAAGTTAAAAGAGGCTCAAATTTAAAAACAGGCAAAGAAATCAGAGCTTTAATAATTCATTTAAAATGCACAATCAACTGTTAGAATTGATACCTGAAATAATAATGTAAAGTGTTTCTTTAAAATGGAAGAAAACCTACCTGGTAAAGGCAGGCTGCTGTTCCAAGGAAAAATGCAATGATGTAATTCAAATCATCACCATCACTCTGCAAAACAAAATAAAAGATTTTTGTTTCTGGTAGAAGCCCATTTCCAAAAACAATCCATTAATACAGGATAAAATAATGTTTACGCACAGTCAAAATTGTCACAAAACTGGTAAATAAAAATTCTCCAGTCCTAAAGTGAAAACATAAAATACATTCTAAGACCTAAAGAGTGTGGGGTAGAGATACAAGTGTTCCTCTATGTTTTGGCTATGCCATTGGTTTCATTCCACCCAACAGAAGATGAAAACCACTGGGGAAAAGTTCTGACATAATGTTAAAAGCCTCTCCTCCTACTACTAAAAAGTTATGCCCCAATGGCTAACAAAGTTACTCCAGCTCACTACGGTCACTACTTGACTCAAATACGGACAAATTTTACTACTAGTAAGTGTATCACTGAATTGTCCAATAAAGTAATTTGATAGAATTTTTTTAAAACTGTGAAAACTGAAAAGCTACTGTCCACTAGAGTGTGCTAAATCCCAATGAGAAAAACTGCCTAATCAGTTTCGCATGCTACGCTACAAGAACAGCCACCTAGAGGAAACAGAGATACCTCATGCATAGAATGTCTCTGAAAACTAATGGAGACATGTAACAACTCATGCTTTCCCATTCCTTTTTGGTTCTTCTTAAATATCTACATTATCAACCTCTTTCAATGTTTTTATATAGTAAAATATAAAGTCCAGGCAGGAGCATTAAATTTTTTTTTCTGCCAGGCAAGAACATTAATTTGGCCCTTTTCTTATATTAGAGAAAAAAAAAATCTCTTTACACAATGAAAACTTCCATAAGACACAGAAGAGTATGATCATGTCTTCATAAAATAGTAAAAAGGGAAAATTCCTTTTGCACTGGCTATTGGGCAACAGAACTGACTGTAAGGCAGAGGAAAGCTGGCTTATCCTAGTGAGAAGATCTTAAAATAGGAACCATTCATCTGTCTGGGATGCTTAGGCCAGTTGCACCCCAGAGGCAAGGAAGGTCAACACGAAACCTTTCCAGTTTAATAATTCTAAAACCTTAAATAACTTCTGCTTATTTTTTCTTTAGTCCTTTACTTTTTAAATAACCTTTTTTTTCTTTATAAAAGTTCATGTTCATTGTAGAGAATCTGGAAAATACAGATTATACAAAGAAGAAATTAATATAACCTATAAATACAACAACTCTGGGAAAAATTACTGCTAACCTTTCCATGTAGTTCCTTCCAGTCTTTTCTGTGTATGTATATATATATTTTTAAAATTGATACTTTTATATACTACCTTTTAGTACTTCACATTACATCATAAACATTTTCCCAAGACAGCAAATATCGCTCAACCACGTACTTTGTAATGACTATATAACCTTTAATTGTGGGGATATACCATAATTTATTGTCCTACAGCTGGATATGGTATTTTTTCCCTAAATTTACGCTTTTACTTTATAACTCCCTTAATCATCTTTTTGACTGATTGGTTGACTGACTGAGACTAAGTATTGCTCTATCACCCAGCCTGGAGTACAGTGGTGCAATCTTGGCTCACTGCAACCTCTGCTTCCCAGATTCAAGTGATTCTCCTGCCTCAGCCTCCCAAGTAGCTAGGATTACAGGCACCCACCACCATGCCCTGCCAATTTTTGTATTTTTTAATAGAGAGGTGGTTTTACCATGTTAACCAGGCTAGTCTCGAACTCCTGACCTCAAGTGATCTGGCTGCCTCAGCCTCCCAAAGTTCTGGGATTACAGACATGAGCTGCCATGCCTGGCCTTAATTGCCTTTAAAATACTGAGAAGCATATTTCTAGAGTCAGTCAAACTTGGGTTCAAAGTTTTACTTATAATCTGGGACACTTACTTAACTTTAATTTCCTCTTTTGAAAAATAAAAGTTGCAGAGAGTAAGTGAAATACCATTTGCAAATACAAGGAAAAGTATTTACTGGTACATAGTAAGTATTCAGAAACATTCATTAACCCCTCTCTCACTGTGGTTACTGTCTGCATCATTTGAAAAATCTTTAATTATACTTGATAAAGAGAAGACTATTAGCATATTCTTCCATGTCATAAATATTTATTAAGTATTTACAAGCCAGGTACTTTGTTACTATCCCTAGTACAGAAAAGAGTTAGTCTACACCAACTTAAGGAGCTCACTCTAATTAAGAAGGCAGATACATAAATCAATAATTACCACCCGAAGTGGTAACTGATGGCACAGGTGTGTGTAGATGATACTAAGGGAGCCCACTGGAGACACATTTAATTCTGCCTAGAGAAAAAAAAAAAAGCCAGGGAAGGCTTCCTAGAGGGAGTAAAGCTTAATCTAGGTCTTAAAGGCTGAACCAGACACACAAGGTAGGAAGATAATCCAAGGCAAAGGAAGTAGCATGTACAGTGTCAAAGAGGAAGGAGGTAAGATGACTCAGAGGTTTCTTGTTGAAGCAACGTTTGAAGGACACCTTGCACTAAGTTGGGCATATAGGAAGAAAAGTAATTCAAGAGCAGAAAATACTGAGCTCACTGTGGACATGCTATTCTGGAGTTGCCAGGGGGACATCCAAATAATTATATTTAGCAGATATTTAAGTATGCTTCAGGAAAGAGTTTGATCCACAGATCTAATTCAGCAGTCATCTATTTTAATAGTAGTTAAATGAAAGGCCTATGACATTTAGGCCTTCTTGATTGGCTCCTAGATTGGAAAGAGAAATAAAACACTATAAAGAACATTCTGGGGGCAACTGTGGAAATGTGAATACAGATTTTATATTAAGTAACACTATACCAATGTTAAATTTATTTGGTGTGATTAAGGTATTAAGATTGCATAAAAGAATATCTTAGCCCCTCCCTAAGACATACCTACTGAGTAATTTTGGAATAAACTGTGATGAGACCTACAATGTTAACTTGCAAAAAGTCTGGAAACCATCATTCTCAGCAAAGTGACACAAGAACAGAAAATCAAACACTGCATGTTCTCACTCATAGGCAGGTGTTGAACAATGAGAACACATGGACACAGGGAGGGGAGCATCACAGGGCGGGGCCAAGGGCGGGACAGCAGAGAGCGGGGTGGGGAGGTTGGGGAGGGATAACATGGGTAGAAATGCCAGATGTAGGTGACAGGGGGATGGAGGCAGCAAACCACATTGCCATGTGTGTACCTATGTAACAATCCTGCATGATTTGCACATGTACCCCAGAACCTAAAGTACAATAAAAAAAATAATAAAAAGTAAAGAAAGAAGAAAGGAAAATGGTAGGTAGGTATATGAGGTGGATGTTAAGTTCTTTAAACTTTTCTAAAAAAAAAAAAAAAAGAAAAAAGAACTTTTCTATAAGTTTGAATTCTTTCAAAATAAGACGCTATGTGGTACAGTGAAAGGAAAACACAAATATTTAATAAAAAGTCATGTAGCTACTAAAAAGAATGGAATATATCTGTGTACTCATCTGAAAAAATCTCCTAGTTTTAGACTTAAAAAGATGCAAATTAGTATTTAGTATGCTATCATTCGTATAAAAAATTTTAAAGAATTATATAAATAAATACATAAATACCTATATACCAGGATATGCACATAATCTCCCTAGAAGGGTGACTCTGAGGAAGAAAAATGGGGAGAGAAATTATTTTGTGAAAATATCAACTCTTGTAGGCTTTGTAATTTTTCATGTACATATTTTACTGTGTGTGTGTTTATATAAATATGTATGTGTATTAACTTTTCAAATACACCATTATGAAAGTAACCAAGAAGGCAGCATGGGGTTGAAAGAATATAAAGCCAAGGACACGTACTGGAGAATGCCGCTGTATAAAGGACAGGTGGAGGAAGAAAGTGTATCAAACTGAGAAACAGGAAGAGAAAGAGGAAAATAAAACAAAACTGGAGAAAATGGTTTCAGAAAAATGAATGGATAAGAGATTTGTCAAGAAGAAAAATGTAAATACGTTAAACTTTTAAGTGATTTGTGTCTATGTTTCCTGAAATAAAATTTTTTGAAATTAAGGCAATATTTAAAAGGAAGAACAGAATGATAGATGAGGCAGAGAAAGTACGTAAGGCAAGACTCTAAACAGTAGCTGCTGTCTATTTGGCAATTGAAAGGATACTGGTGAGCTTAATGTGGTATCTGAGAGAATTACAGGGGCAGAAAAGAGATCACAGTAGACTAAGAAAATAGAGGGTAAAGGAGCAAGACAACAAACATAGTCTACTCTCTTAAAAAATTAGAAGGGAGCAGCCAGGTGAGGTGGCTCACGGCTATAATCCCAGCACTTAGGGAGGCCAAAGTGGGTGGATCACCTGAGGTCAAGCATTTGAGACCAGCCTGACCAACATGGTGAAACCCCGTCTCTATTACAAATACAAAAAAATTAGCCAGGCATGATGGTGGGCGCCTATAATCCCAGCTACTTGGGAGGCTGAGGTGGGAGAATTGCTAGAACCCCGGGGAGTGGAGTGCAGAAGTTACAGTGAGCCAAGACTGCACCACTGCACTCCAGCCTGGGTGACAGAGCGAGACTCCATCTCCACACACACAAAAAATTTTGAAGGGAGCATACATGAAGAGGCTTTTTTGGTTTTGTTATTGTTTGTTTTGTAAAGAACAGCAGGGCTGAGGAAAACAAGCAAGTAGGGAAGCAGCAGATGAAAGGAACAGCCAGAGGCTGCTGGGAAGGTGGGCAGAGGTTAGAAGCGGGGACAAAAGTGGAAGTGAACAGGGGTGGGGAGACAGAGACAGGGAGGAAAGCAGAGGAGGAGGAGGAGAGGGCAGAGGTAAGGAGTTCCAATATAAGTTTTTATGAATGTCACTATTCACCTTTAGAGGATATTAGAGTACCAATGTATTGCTCTAAAAACAAATAAAGGGAATTTTACTTTTAAAGATGAGGATGGGGGCCAGAGGTAGTGGCTCATGCTGTATTATCTTAGCACTTTGGGAGGCCAAGGTGGGAGAACTGCTTGAAGCCAGGAGTTTAAGACCACCTG